CAGGTGGAGTTGGTAGACAGCTGCCCTGGATACAGAATTGACCTGCGCCTCCATGCACAGCTGTGAGTCCAAAATGACTCCCAGGCTGCGCACCTGGTCCTTCAGGGGCACAGTGACCCTATTCAGGACCAGGGAGTCCTCCACACCAGCCCGCCCCCTGTCCCCCAAAAACAGTACTTCTGTCTTGTCAGGATTCAACTTCAATCCATTAGCCGCCATCCATCCTCCAACCGCCTCCAGGCACTCACACAGGACCTTCACCGCCTTCACTGGTTCTGATTTGAAAGAGAGGTAGAGCTGGGTATCATCTGCATATTGATGGACACCCAGTCCAAACCCCCTGATGATCTCTCCCAGCAGCTTCATATAGATGTTAAAAAGCATGGGGGAGAGGACGGAACCCTGAGGCATCCCACAAGTAAGGGCCCAGGGGTCTGAACACTCATCCCCCACCACCACTTTCTGAACACGGCCCAGGAGGAAGGAGCGAAACCACTGTATAACAGTGCCCCCAGCTCCCAGCCCCTCTAGACGGTCCAGAAGGATGTTATGGTCGATTGTATCAAAGGCCGCTGAGAGATCCAGCAGAACTAGGAAACAACTCTCACCTTTGTCCCTAGCTCGCCGGAGATCATCAACCAGCGCGACCAAGGCAGTTTCAGTCCCATGATGAGGCCTGAATCCCAATTGGAAGGGATCCAAATGGTCCGCATCCTCCAGGCGTGCCTGGAGTTGTTCAGCAACCACGCGCTCAATCACCTTGCCCAAGAATGGAAGATTTGAGACTGGGCGATAGTTGGCCATACTGGCCGGGTCTAAAGATGGTTTTTTAAGAAGCGGTTTAATGACCACCTCTTTCAGCGGATCTGGGAATGTTCCCTCACAGAGGGAAGCATTCACCACCTTGCAGAGCCCATCGCCCAGCCCTTCCCAGCTTGCTTTTATTAGCCAGGATGGGCAAGGATCAAGGAGACAGGTGGTTGGTTTCACGCGTCCAAGCAGCCTGTCCACATCCTCGGGGGTAACGGATTGAAATTGATTCCATACAACTTGACCAGACACAGCTCTAGCACTCTCCCGCCCCAGCCCTGCTCCCACGGTGGTGTCTAGCTCCTTCCGAATATGAGTGATTTTATCTGCAAAAAAACTTTGCAAAATCGTTGCAGGAGATCTTGGGGTCTTTACAAGGCCCCGGTGGTAAAGGTGGTTCCGTTAAATTGCGAACCACCTGAAAGAGTCTCCTGCTACTATTTTCTGCAGATGCAATAGAGGCGGTGAAGAAAGTCTTCTTCACCGTCGCTATCGCCACTTGGTAGGCTCGACGTTGAGCTCTAACCTGTGTCCGGTCAGATTCGGAGTGAGTTTTCTGCCACCGACGCTCTAGCCGTCTCAGCGATTGTTTCATCGCCCTCAGCTCCGAAGAAAACCACGGGGCTGTCCGGGCTCCATGCAATCGGAGAGGGCACTTCGGAGCCAGACAGTCGATAGCCCTGGTTAACTCCACATTCCAGCGGGCCACCACGGAATCAGCTGAAAGGCCATCAACATGGGCTAAAGCATCCCCTACCACTCTCTGGAAACCATTTGGATCCATTAAGTGGCGGGGGTGGACCATCCGAATTGGTCCCACCTCCCTGCAGAGGGGAAGGGTCGTGGAGAAGTCCAGTTGCACCAGGAAGTGATCTGACCATGGCACTTCTTTTGTTTCACTTTTACTTAGTGTCAGATCACCCACGTCACTAGAGGTGAACACCAGGTCTAAGGCATGTCCATGACTATGAGTTGGGCCAAACTTATTCAGGGACAGCCCCATGGAGGCCATGCTTTCCATGAAGTCCCGAGCAGCCCCTTGTAAGGTCGTGTCGGCATGGATGTTAAAATCCCCTAGGACAACCAAACTAGATGTCCCCAGGAGAAAATCCACCACGACCTGAAGCAGCTCGGACAGGGAATCCTTGGTGCAGCGGGGAGGTCGGTACACCAAAAGGAATCCTGTACTGCCCCTATTGCCCAACTTCCAGAACATGCACTCAGAAAACTGGATCTTCCCAGTAGGACGCCTGGTGCAAGCTAGTGACTTCCTAAAAATCACTGCAACCCCCCCTCCCCGCCCACATGACCTGGGTTGCTGCGCGTAAGAGAAACCTGGTGGGCAAGCAGTGGCAAGGACAGGCCCATCTGCTTCCTCCAACCAGGTCTCTGTCACATGTGCCAGGTCAAATCCTCCATCCACAATCAGGTCGTGGATGGCAGTGGTTTTATTCATCATTGACCTGGCATTACACAGCAACACCTTCAGGTTATGTGGGTTTCCTCTGTTGATTCCAGTATCCATGCGGTCAAGGCCAGACCCGGAGGCAGGGATAGTCTTCAAACAACGACTAAACCTGCCTCCTCGGTAATGACATGGTCTGGTCTTAGCGTAACTCCGCCTCCTGCCCATGATCACCGAGATTGGATGTCCCAGTGCTTCTGCCCCTGTGGAACTTGTCCCAGCCATCGTGTTGGCTGGGGCCCCACTCCCAGGCAGCCCTGATCCCGCCTCTTAAAAACAAAACACAAACTATACAGAACCAATAAAACAACAACAACAACAAAAGGAACAGAACAATTATACTAAAATTAATCCCCAACCAAATATCCATCCCACCCACCTACCCCCAACAAAGGAAAAAAGGGAAAAAAGAAATAAAAATTTAAATTGCCACCGACTGCTTGAGGACATTTTAAAGCACATTAACCACCTGGAACAGGGAAGCAATGGCAGAACACTTCCCACACTTCCCCAAAAGTTTGTTCCAAATAAGGGCCTGGGCCACGCCCCCTGGGCCAGTTGGAAAAGGCCCTGGAAGGGAGCAGGCCCTGCAGTCCTCACCCAGCCGATGGAAGGCATTAAAACACATTGCTCACTACCTGAAAGGTACTATATGCATTACAGACTGAGATTTACTAATCAGAAGTCTGGAGGACTTGAAATATATGCTGATGCAAGTTTTGGAAGTGACCGCATAGATGGTAAAAGCACTTCTGGTGTGTGCTATATATACAACTGTTTATTTGACTGGTCATGCAAGAAGCAAACAACTGTAAGTTTAAATTCCTGTGAAGCTGAACTTAAAGCTCTGATGTATTCACTCGTGGATGTTGAGTGGTTGTTACAATCATGTAAAGACGAGATTGAATGTGTCTTGTTCTATACAGGTTTATCAGAATAACAAATCTTGCTTGGCTTTGCTAAATTCTGAAGGTTGCAAGCAAAGAAACTTGCAAATCAAGTTATTTCATGCAAGAGACTGTATCAAGAGAGGATTGATAAATGTATCCTATATGCCAGGAAAAGAAATTCCTGCTGATCTCTTTTCAAAGGTTGTTAACAAGGAACAACTAAATGTGTTTGTACATATGTTGCAATTGTGCTAAATGCAATAGTTGCATGAAATAAGGGGAAGATGTCAGTATTTTCACTGCCAACTATTGCAAAGGGTCACATGATCCAATGTTTCAATTTCTTACCACTGTGTGTATGTGGGCGGAAGTCAAGACGACTTGTTTTTGATGACTCTGCTAATGTGTGCACATATCTTTCGGATGTGTGTCGCTGCTATGTACGGAACTCCGAGAAAAAAGGGGAGCATCCAGTGATCTGTTATTTATCGTGTTTTTAATATTCTATTGGGAGCCACCCAGAGTGGCTGGGGGAACCCAGCCAGATGGGCGGGGTATGTATGTATGTATATGTGGGACGCGTGTGGTGCTGTGGGTTAAACCACAGAACCTAGGACTTGCCGATCAGAAGGTCGATGGTTTGAATCCCCGCGACGGGGTGAGCTCCCGTTGCTCGGTCCCTGCTCCTGCCAACCTAGCAGTTCGAAAGCACGTTAAAGTGGTACCGCTCCGGCGGAAAGGTAAACGGCGTTTCCGTGCGCTGCTCTGGTTCGCCAGAAGCGGCTTAGTCATGCTGGCCACATGACCCGGAAGCTGTACACCGGCTCCCTCAGCCAATAAAGCGAGATGAGCGCCGCAACCCCAGAGTCGTCCGTGACTGGACCTAATGGTCAGGGGTCCCTTTACCTTTTGTATGTATGTATGTATGTATGTATGTATGTATAAATAAATAGATTTATTATTACTACCCACCTATACTCAGGTTAGGTGCATGGGGTGTTAGGGGAGGTTAGTACATCTGGTGGGTGACACATCATGCTCCTTCTGGGGTAGCTTGTCCACCTTTGGTCCCCATCCTGCGCTCAGCTCCCACCTGTGGCTCCTAGAAACTGTCAGTATCTGACAGCGGCCACACCTGGGGAACAGCTTCCACTGGCAGGCTAAACCAGGTGAGGGTAGCCAATGGGCCTCAACCCACATTTTCCAGGGTTAAACCAGTTTTCAATCTGTAGTATGGATGTTCCCTGGAGGTGTCCGACTCGGAGCCTATTACGTTAAGCTCAAACCAAAATAAGACGTTAGTGGTGCATTGCCGGCCTGCCCTTGCCATAGTACTTTAGGACAGTAACACAGAGGTTTTGCTGGGACAGAGTTCAAAGGGTCTCTCCAAACATCCTTCTTATTGCACATCAGTGATGAATTGTGCACATGATGTTATCAGGGTGGTCACACTCCAATCCACTATCAATGCTGTTTGTGTCTGCAAAAGTTTTGGGGTGGAATCACAGTTGGGACTCAGCTACATTAGTAAAAAACAACAACACAGCGATTTGAATGTGCTATAAACACGCAACACCAGGTGGCCCCAGAGAGCAGGAAAATCTAAAACATGATTTTTCTTTTGCTATAATGATCCAATTCCTGACTTACCTATAGCGGGTCCCCGGTCCCCTCCGGTGTCTAGATCCACCCTTGCATTTCCAATCAGGGCATATCCTGCCACTACCTGTGGAAATCCCATAACTTTTTCATCCACAAATACTCCTGTTTACTTTTTTACTGTGCTTTTGTTACGCTGCAGCCGCTCCCACCAGCAACAATGTGTCCCGATAGAACCATAGCTCAGTTGTTAGAGCATGAGACTCTTAATCTCACGGTCATGGGTCCGAGCTCCACCGCAGGAGGTTGTTGAACTAGATCAGGGGTAGGCAAGCTAAGGCCCTTGGGCTGGATGCAGCCCAATCGCCTTCTCAATCCGGCCTGTGGACAGTCCGGGAATCAGCATATTTTTACATGAGTAGAATGTGTGCTTTTATGTAAAATGCATCTCTGGGTTATTTGTGGGGCATAGGAATTCGTTCATCCCCCCCCCCAATATAGTCCGGCCCACCACATGGTCTGAGGACTGGCCCATGGCTGAAAAGGTTGCTGACCCCTGAACTAGATGAACCATGTGGTCCCTTACAACTCTACAATTCCATGATTCTATTATTCTAACCAACTAAAGCAGGCTAAATCCACTACCACCATGTATTTGAAAATATCAAGCGTTTCCCTGCATATATGACTCAGGACAAAACATGCAACACAATGCAATAAAAGACTTTTATTATTTGCTGTGTATTTACATTTTCGTCTCCCAATTTTTATTTCTTCTTTATGCTATTTAGGGGATTCTTCTTTGTCTGAGGGTATTCTGAAATATAAGTTGGAGAACCGATGTTCTGGGGGCTGCCTCCCCGTGGACTTCAGTAAAACTGCTGCTTCCCCTGTTGCTGCCTGTTTGCATTCGCCATGTGCATCAGCTTGAGGAGGAGATCCCCTGCCGAGCTGTCCAGCACAGTCAGGTTCCTTTCAGAGAGCATTCGACTCCTGTCGCTGTTTTCATCCACGCACGCTGCATCTGTGGTGCAGCTCTCTGTGGAAGAAAGGAGTAAAACAAATATATGAATTTTTCTGTGCTTTAATCTTCTGGCAAGCCTTTTGGGCTGGTCACAAAGTCTCCCCTGGTATTCTTGCAGTGAAGCTGGTAAACTGTCGCCTAGAGGATGTGAACTGTTAGGTGGATTTGTAGCTGTTTGACTAACTGAGCCCAAAAGGACTCCCCTATGGTTCCTTGCAATCCTGGGAGAAAAGGACAAGTGGGGTTCTGCAGGGTTCTGTCCTGGGCCCGTTGTTGTTCTACGTGACTTGGGTGAAGGCATAGAGGGGATGATCATCAAATTTGCAGATGACACCAAACTGGGAGGGGTAGCTAAGACCTCAGAGAATCAGGACTGAAGATGAGCTTCACAGATTGGAGAACTGGGCCCAAACTTTTTTAAAAAATGAATTTCCATAGGGACAAATGTAAGGTTTGACATGTAGGCAGGAATAACCAGATGCACAAATATAGGATGGGTGACACCCGGCTTGACTGCAGAACATGTGAAAAGGATCTTGGGGTCTTAGTAGAGACCACAAGCTTAACATGAGAGAATAGTGTGATGCAGCAGCAAAAAAAGTGAATGCTAATCTAAGCTGCTTCAACAGAAGTCTAGTATCCAGGTCCAAGGAAGTAACAGTACCACTATTGTGCCTTGCTCAGACCCAACCTGGATCATTGTGTCCAACTCTGGTCACCACAGTTTAATATTGACAAGCTGGAATGTGTTCAGAAGAGGGCGAACAGGGTGACCAAGGGTCTGGAACCCAAGCCTGATGAGGAATGGTTGAAGGAGTGTTGGGTATGTTTAGCCTGGGGAAGAGAAGACGGAGAGGTGATATGAGCCGTCCTCAAATATCTGAAGGGCTGTCCCATGGAAGACGGAGCAAGATTCTCTTCTGCTGCTCCAGGACCCAAAGCAATAGATTCAAATACAAGACAGAAGAGTCTGACTAAACATTAGGAAGAACGTTCTGCTGCTTGGCAGTGGAAGTTTTTAATGGTAAGTCGGATGGTCATCTGTCTTGTATGATCTAGTTGAGATTCCTGCATTGCAGGGGCTGTACTAAATGACCCGTGGTCATGAATTGTAGCAGTTAATGTGTCTTTGCCTTGGCAGTGGTTTTCCACTTGACTTTTCTGACTCACATTCCCCCTCTTCCTCTCTCCAGCACCCCCTCTTGCTGAGCTTCATCTCTCGCACAAGGATACCCTTACCGATATTGCAGCATGTGCCTGGTCACCACAGACAGGAGATTCTGACTAAACATGTGCCTGGTCACCACAGACAGGAGATTCTGACTAAACATAGGAAGAACTTTCTGAGCGTAAGAGCTGCTTGGCATTGGAAGTTTTTAAAGGTAAGTTGGATGGCCACCTGTCTTGCGTGATCTAGTTGAGATTCCGTCATTGCAGGGGCTGTTCTAAATGACCTTTGAGGGTTCCTCCCAGTTCTACAATTCTGTTATGCTATGGTCATGACTTGTTAAATATGTTGCAGTTCTTGTTATTAAATATACCAAGGAAAAAGCACACCAAGAACTCTGGCCAAAGTTTCAGTAGTGGGAGTGGTCCCTACTGGCAAATCAATAGTCAATTGTAACAAAAACTAATCCATTCAAAAGTATGTATTCTGACAAGGATTACAAACTCAGAGATTACAAACTCAAACTCATAAGGATATGTAGGAAAGCCTATTACCTTTTATATGTGCTTAAGGGGGCAGATGAGATCCTCTAGATCTTCTTAAAGGCATAGAGTTCTATGGACTAACATGAACTTATCTCTACTCATAAACTCTTATCTCTAATCCTGTAACAAATTATTGTGTTATACATATCCCTACAAGATTTAGTTTGTAATCCCTGTTTGAGTTTGCAATCTCTATTTGAGTTTGTAATCCTTTTCAGAATACACACTTTTGAATGGGTTAGTTTTTGTTACAGTTGACTATTGATTTGCGAGTAGGGACCACTCCCACTACTGAAACTTTGGCCAGAGTTCTTGGTGTGCTTTTTTCATGGTCATGACTTGTAGCAGTTAATGTGTCTTTGCCTTGGAGGTAGTTTTCCACTGACTCACATCCCCCCTCTTCCTCTCTCCAGCACCCCCTCTTGCTGAGCTTCATCTCCCACGCACAGATACCCTTACCGTCATTGCAGCATATGCCGGACGCTGCACACCTCCCTCCTGCACTGCAGGGCTTCCCACCGGCCTCGCAGGGCGAAGGCAGGTAATTTTCCTCCAGGCAGCGCAGAGTTTCTGGGGTGCCAAAGTAGCAGCCAAATTCTTCTCCGCAGCAGATGCTGGGGCCAAAGCAGTTTCCTTTCTTTCCAGGACCACAAGGAATGCACTAAGAGAGAGAGAGAGACAGAGAGTGAGGGGTGGTGCTGAGTTTGAGTCTGGCTACGGCAACGTGACTACAGGTATGCTGAACTAGATGGGTGTTTGGTCTGATCCAGCAGGGCTCACGAAAATCCATCCAGACCAACGTTCCCTGTCCCACGGCAACAAGCCGGGTGCTGCCAGGTACCCCACAAGCAGGGGGATCCCTGTCCCTGCCTTGGCTACTGGTATTCAGAGGTATATTGCCTCTGAAGCTGGAGTTTTCATCCAACCATGCTGGCTAACACAGACCTGTCCCCCAGGATGGATTTCTCCAATTCCCCTTTCAAAACCATTTGAGGCTACAGTCCTATGCATATTGTCTATGGTGTGTAAACACCAGGGGTGACATCCCACTTAATTTTACTCAGGGTAGACACACTGAATTTAATGCACACTATCATTATTATGACAATGTTTATATCCTACCTTTTCTCAAAGGAGTTCAAGGTGGTGTACGGTTCCATCCTTGGGGGGAAGGATTTCATACTGGCATTGTATTAGTAAATCATTTTATATTTAATATTTCTCACCACATTTACCAGGCCGAGTGATGTGCCTCTCTCTGAATCCATTTTCTTTTTAGCAAGGTTCAGAAATGGACTTTCTTTTTACTCCAATCACACCAGGTATCTTCATTTGAACCAAGTGCAAATGTGAATGTTTATTTCAACAAGCTGATCCTCACCAATTAGTATTTATTTCTTTAACAAATCCCGCTTGATTGTAATGAAGCATTTAAGCAATTTGCAAAAAGTATTAAAATCATCTAAAAAAAAGTGTTTTAAGTAGGTGCTGAAAACAGTACAGCAAAGGGAACTGTCTGCTGTCAATAGGGAGTTCCAAAGTTTGTGTGTTGCCACACTAAAAGGCTGATCGCTTGTAACAGTGCCAGTCCCACAGACTGAAGCCGTTGACTGGGCACATCTGGGGCAAGAGAATCATTCAATTATTGCTTAACACGGATGAAACGCCTTTGGTGCACCTCAGTCGTAAACGGTTACTTGTTTTAATGGCCCTCATTCATTCATAAAAGGTCTCTTCAGAAGAGCAGCACAACTTAATAAAAACGGCTGTTTGGAGAAAATGGGTTAACTCAGAAGTTGTGCTACAATGGAAGAATCGCTTTGAACACGGAGCATCTAAAAGCCAGGGGGAAGATTCCTTTTTCGTACGCACACCTACTGGAGTGAGTTTCCCAACTTTTCCGCTGGTGTGCCTGATGTGCAGACACCATCCAATAATAGACGGTCATGCTGGGAAAACCACCTGCTCACTTTAAGTTGCTGTTAAAGGCACAAGAGCAGACCAGGCCCTTTTCTTCTTATCAGTTGGCAACGCTGCACTGGTCTGTGTGCAGAGAAAGTGGTTAAAAGCAGTAGGGCTAGGAGCTTAAATTCAGGGATGGGGACATGCGGCTCTCTAGCTGGTGTTGCATTGCAGCTCACATCAGACCCCCAGGGAACATGGCCAAATGCCCCAGAGGATACTGGGAGTTGTAGTCCAACAACATCTGGAGGACTTCAGCTTCCCCACCCTTGCTTTGTGCGATCAAGGTTGCAATCCTGTCAGTGGCGTAGCGTGGGGGTGCAGGGGGGGCCGGGCGCAACATCTGGGGGTTAGGGTTAGGGGGCGCAAATCCACGGGTTAGGGGGTGCAAATTATTTGCCTTGCCCCGGGTGCTGACAACCCACGCTACGCCACTGAATCCTGTACTTACTTACCTGGTTGCAAGTCCTATTGAACTCAATAAAGCTTACTTTTGGGACGCGGGTGGCGCAGTGGTCTAAACCACAGAGCCTAGGGCTTGCCGATTAGAAGGTCGGCAGTTCAAATCCCTGCGACGGGGTGAGCTCCCGTTACTCGGTCCCTGCTCCTGCCAACCTAGCAGTTCGAAAGCACAAAGTGCAAGTAGATAAATAGGTACCGCTCCGGCAGGAAAGTAAACGGCATTTCCGTGCACTGTTCTGGTTCTCCAGAGGTGGCTTAGTCATGCTGGCCACATGACCCGGAAGCTGTACGCCGGCTGCCTTGGCCAATAAAGCGAGATGAGCATCGCAACCCCAGAGTCATCCACAATCTCAGGGGTCCCTTTACTTTTACCTTTGAGTAGCTATGTATAGGCTTGCACCACACTCACATTTAATTATTGAGGCATTAATTGCATGCGCATCACCGAAGAGGCCTCTGCAAAGGAATGGTCTTGCAGGAAGGCAGTGTACTTGCTATGCAGCTTGGAAAAAGAGCATCAAAAGGGAATAAATACTTCAGTACGAGTGCTGGTATGAAAAATGCTTATAAATTTAATCTGCAATGTTTCTAGTGCATGGGTTGTGCACAGAGCATCACATGGTTGCTTCCCTCGAGCGAGGGTTTCACAATGTCCAGCTCACAGATAAATAAAGCAGGGTGACTGACACATGTCTAACCTATGGGCTAGTGGCAAGCTGTGGGCCCAATCTGAACCCCAAGCAACCACACTTGGCTCTGCTAGCCCTGCAAGCTTCTCTAGGGAACAGAAGTACAGAGAAGAGCAGCACTTAACACAGGCAACAGAAATGGGCCGGCATGGAAGGTTGAAAGCTGTGCTTCAAGATCCCCACACCATTACTAAATTAAAGTCTTTCCTAAGATGCTTACTGTCTTATCTCCCTCTCATATAGACATATAAATCTACGGCAGCACACAACCCGTGTGTTCAGAACACCTTTAAAGCACCTAAATAATCCTGGGAATTGTAGTTTGTTAAGGGTCCTGGGTAGCTCTGTGAGGGGTAGACTGCCATTCCCAGGATTTGGGGCGGGTGCGCTTTAAATGTCCTTTAAAGGAAGGGTCGTCTCTGCAGCCTTGAGGGAGCATTCCTTCCCTCTTTTGCTACAGTAGTTGCAGCACCTCTCTCTCTTCCATAAGGAGCAGTGCTCCATCCCTGTAGAGCAGAAACAGGTCTGAGAGGCAGAGCAAAGCAGAAAAGGGATTAGGGACACAAAGACACCTTTGGAACAATTCCCCCATAACCAGCAAAGGAGCAGAAAAGCAGTCTCTTTTGGAGACAGGCACATCAATTGAGATTTGCAGGTGCATCAACTGAGATCCTCTCTCTCTCTCTCTCTCTCCTTACCTGTCTGACTTCTGTGTCTGGGAATGCTCTCTTTCCTCCCCGAGGGCAGTTCTGGATATAGCAAGCCGAAGACAAGGTGAGTAGGCAGAGGACGTAGACTGGAAGTGAGGTCTCAGGCATCTTGGTGGGCTTGCAGATCTCGCTCGCAGGCTGTCTTCCTCTCCTGGCTTCTGCCTCCTGTATCTGCCTCCTTCCTGGACCACCTGCCTCTTTATACCCTTCGTAGCTCCCCTTTGCATCGACGCAACACTTCTATCATCACGGCCAGGATGTTTATTTTCTCTGCCCCCACCCTTCTCTGCACAACTCATACCTCTCCCCCCCCCCTCCAAGCTGGACTTGAAATCACATAATAATTGAACCAATTTAGTGCAGAGCCAAGCTCAGGTCCCAAAGGCTCTCTCTCTCTTGTTTATTTTATTTTATTTTTAAGTGGTGCAAGAATATTATTAATACGTGCATCATAATAAATTTGAGTAGGATGGATTGCAGCACTGGAGTACACAGGGAGGGGAGTCTGCCTGAGAAGAGGAGAGAGGCCTTCTGGGTGAATTTTCTCTGCCTGTGTGTGCAGTACCTCTTTTTCCAGGCGTCGAAGGCATCAAGAACAAAATTCTGGCAACAATTTCTACACAATTCCACTCATCTTTATACCCTTCCCTGCGGCTTGTGGGATAATTTGGCTGCTTGAGCCCTTGCATTCAACAGGGGATGCCCATATCTGTCAAATCTGTCAAGGCCCTTTCCACCTGGCCTAGGGGGTGAGGCCCACACTCACCAGCCCCACTGAAGAGGCTCCTCATGAGGCCGGAGGAACATCGCCCAGCTAACGTTTTAGTCATTGATTGATTTTAATATGCTGTACACCGCTTTGAGATTTGTATTAAAAATATAAAGCGGGGTGTGTGTGTGTATTGGTTTCTTGGAGTTTCTCATGTTTCCAGTCCAGTTTCAGGTGTTGTTGTTTTGTTTTTTTTAAAGAAGTCCTCATGAAAATTCATTGGAATTTTAGAATTTCCCAGAACATATACATCTGTATGCCATTTTGCCTAATATGCACATTTGTGCAAAGCAACATCCAGTTTTTGCATGCGATCTCCACTTATATATACCCAACGCATGCAGTTTGGGGCATGTTGCTTGGCAGTGGAGCTGCATTGCAAAATTTGAAGAAGGGCAAGTTTCAATGGTTGGCTATGTTTTGGTTTGCATATTGTTCTGCAAAGTGAGAATTAGTTAGGGCTGATCTTTAAATGCCACCTGAATCAAAAGTCTCCCCCATCCCGGGGCAACAGGCGAAGGGTTAAACATAAGATACTTACAGATACAAAAGAAAGAGAAGGCTTCGCCCTCCCAGACTTTAAATTGTATTATGAGGCTGCATGTTTAGTTTGGATTAGGGACTGGATAAAACTGGAAAAGGAAGAAGCATTAGATTTGGAAGGTCATGATAACAGATATGGATGGCATGCATATTTATGGTATGGGAAAGGGAAAGTACATAAAGGATTTTACAATCATATATTAGGAAATCAGTAATGAGAGTGTGGGAGAGGTACAAAGACCTAATAGAACAAAAAACACCTTGGTGGCTATCAACAATTGAAGCTTCATTACTTAAACCACTTGGTAAAAAGGGAAAGTGGCCTACATATAGAGACTTACTGAGACATCAAGAAGGAAAATGGAAATTAAAAGATTATGAGGAAATCAAAGACTATTTTCAGAGTTGGTTGCATTACAGACAATTATATGAGATGTACAAGGAAGATAACAAAAAAGGGTTTCTAGATTCCAAAAAGAGGTTATAGAAGAAGGAGTGAAGCTGTTGAAGAAAGCATATAGTATTCTGCTAGAATGGGAAACGAAAGATGAGGAGGTCAAATCAGTTATGATCAAATGGGCACAAGACATAGGACATAACATAAAATTTGAGGACTGGGAAAAGCTGTGGAAGGTAGATTTGAAATTTACAGACTGTTCTCTTTTGAAAGAAAATTATATGAAAATGATGTATAGATGGTATACTACACCAGCAAAAATGGCAAAATTGTATAAAACCGGGTCAAATACATGTTGGAAATGTAAAGAAAAAGAAGGTACTTTGTATCATATGTGGTGGGAATGCAGAGAAGTTAAAAAATTTTGGGAGATGATATATAATGAATTAAAAAAATGTTCAAAATGACATTTGTAAAAAAGCCAGAAGCATTTTTGTTAGGGATTTTAGGACAAGACCTGCCAAGGAAAATGAAGAACTTATTTATGTACTTTACAACAGCGGCAAGAGCCCTGTTAGCACAAGGATGGAACAATGAGGAAATCCCAATGAAAGAGCAACGGCAAGAAAAGCTGATGAGCTATGCGGAGTGGGCAAAGTTAACATATACCGTGGTACCTCGGGTTAAATACTTAATTCGTTCCGGAGGTCCATTCTTAACCTGAAACTGTTCTTAACCTGAAGCACCACTTTAGCTAATGGGAGCCTCCTGCTGCTGCCACGCCGCTGGAGCACGATTTCTGTTCTCATCCTGAAGCAAAGTTCTTAACCTGAAGCACTATTTCTGGGTTAGCGGAGTCTGTAACCTGAAGCGTATGTAACCCGAGGTACCACTGTAAATTATGTGAGAAGGACAACCATGACTTCAAGGAAGAATGGTAACTCTTTACAAACTATTTAAAAAGACAACAAAAGGATTTGGACTTCTTGGCAGGTTTTGAATAAACATCCACAAATTTATTAGTAGAACATAGGATAGATAAGGCAATGATATGTACAATTTTACAACATGCAGAGAATAATATGTGTAAACAAATTAGAGAGGTGAGCTGAGGGAAGTCTCTGGAGGGTGGGGAAGGGAGGGAGGGGGGAAAGGGGAAAATGTAATTGGATATATTGATTCATAATTTGATTTGTTAAATTTGCTCAATAAAAATATTTTTTTTAAAAAGTCTCCCCCATCCTTAGCTTCAGGTGGCAGATTCTGTGGGGGTGGGGATGGATAGGGCTATATGTTTTCTGCGCTGCCTGGGCTGCACTCCCTAAGGGAGCCTCCTTCCCTCAAATCCCATCTCCCGTGTTGAAGAAAAATACTACTACCAACTTTTGTGCATGGATTTGGTGAGGGTGCCATCTGGCCCTTTGCCTTAGGCACGTAGGTCCTGCTTGAGCCATCAAGAGTCTCACTGCCATCCCAATATCGGCCACATCTGGCATGGTGAATCTTCCCTCCTCCCATGGGCTGCTTGTTTGACACTAACCCATGACGGGGCCTTTTCAGTGGTGACTTCCCCATTGTGGAATGCCCTCCCTAGTGAGGTGAGCCCGTCTCCATCATTATTAACTTGCAGGAGGAATCTGAGAACTTACCCAGGCATTTAGTGGCTGAGGAACACTGTCGCTGGAAACCTCAAGTACATTGGATGGAACTGTGCTTTTAACTGCAGTTTAATTGTACTAGAAAGTTTTCGATTGTAATTATTTCTACAGTATTTCAAACTGTTTTGTAATGTTTTTGTTTGTAAGTTGTATATCTGCATGCTGCCCTGCCTCCTTGGGGATAATAATAATAATAATGATAATGATAATGATAATGATAAAATAATACTGGAGTGTATTAAAAGCACATTCAACTCTTTGGCCAACACAGATGGAGACAACTCTGCTGGCGAAGTTTGCCAAACGAAAAGAGCGAAATCTGCAGCGGGCAAGATATTGGCGCTTCTTGCTGCAGCTTTTAAAGGCAGAGAGAAGTTCTCCTTGGCTTCTCTGTGCTGGGGTTAGAAGCTGAGCTCTCCCAGTTCGCTTTCCTCCGAAACCACAAGGAGAAACCTTAGAAGGCCTTTCGGAGAAGGCCATCGTGGAAGTCGTTCATCCTCACACAGATGGGGATTTTTGTGGAGGATGAGTTTTGGCTGCATGAACCGGGGCTGAACGGCCGCACTGCCATCAGGATGTGGTGTTTGCGTGGGGATGCCATCTGCACCCTGGCAGAGAGACATCCTCTCCGGGATTCTGCTGGGAGCGAGGCGTGGGCAGGGCCCACAAAAAAGATCATTGGGAATTTGTCAGTGAGGTGCCAAGGGTACCATCCCACTTAGTCCTGGGGACAAAAAACATCACCTTACTGACAAAGGTTTGTATAGTTAAAGCCATGGTTTTCCCAGTAGTGATGTATGGAAGTGAGAGCTGGACCATAAAGAAGGCCGAAGAATTGATGCTTTTGAATTATGATGCTGGAGGAGACTCTTGAGAGTCCCATGGACTGCAAGAAGATCAAACCTATCCATTCTTAGGGAAATCAGCACTGAGTGCTCACTGGAAGGACAGATCCTGAAGCTGAGTCTCCAATACTTTGGCCACCTCATGAGAAGAGAAGACTCCCTGGAAAAGACCCTGATTTGGGAAAGATGGAGGGCACAAGGAGAAGGGGATGCCGGAGGACGAGATGGTTGGATAGCCACCAGCATGAGTTTTACCAAACTGCGGGACGCAGTGGAAGACAGGAGTGCCTGGCATGCTCTGGTCCAGGGGGTCACGAACAGTCGGACATGACTAAATGACTAAACAGCAACAACAAAAATAAAATATTTTTATTTAAAAAAGGAAAAAAGAGGGGGGAAAGAAAAGAGGAAGTGTGAAGGCTACCTCCATGTTTTGATTCAAGGACTGCCAATGTAGTGCCCATTGGTGAGTCAACCCTCACCAAACCTCCTCCCTCTGTTTTGCAGTGTTGTGGTTTGTTTGGGCCCAAACAACTCCCCCCAACTCCAAGCAACTTCTCCTCAGATACCCCCACACACCACCCCTGCAGTGCAGTCCCCAAAGGAAGACGCTTCCCAGACCTGACACCAGCAGGGAATGACCTTAGGAACATGGCATTAATATGCAAGGGGGAATCTTGTGAATTGCAAACGCGTCAACGAACCCCTCTCAGAGGGCCCGTTGCTGCCCGGGCAGATCAGCATGGCAGATTCTTCTCATCTTTCAACAGGAATTATGAAAGGTCGCTGCTCATTGTTTAATTAAAAGGAAAATGAGGAGCGGAGGGGGCGAGGGTAATGACGGCTTAGCTGAACATCACATCCGAAATTCCTGCTGCGTGCAGCTTGCTTCAGAAGGAGGGGAAGAAGTACGTAGCAGGTAGGCAGAGAAGGGAAGGAGGTTTATTTCCGGCGAATAAATTTGGGAGAACATATGTTGTGAGAAGGTATGGTGCTCATATAGGTT